AATAATCAAGTAGACTACAATTTTGGCATTTTTTCATAATTTGTTTGTTTGATTTCAAATTTATTTGATTTTCTTCACATTTAACGCAGAACTAAAATAAAAGCATGTGTGCTGGATGATTTTTATATCTAGCTGAGTAAATTCAAATGCAAAGCATTGCTATGTTATGAAAATAAAATGCCACACAAATTAGAAATTCTTAAATTTGAGATAAATGAGTCCAAATTTCCTCTGAATTGGTGTTCAAACAAATAACAGCAGGTTTAAACAGTATGGAGTTTCAATGGGAATGCCATTATATCCTATGGGAGACTGAACAAATACTTAACAAGGAGACCCTATGACTTTGGGGAAACGGATTTTGATGATCTTTGGTGTAGAGGTAGTAAACCATGTGAGTGTACTACCTGTAAAATACTAAAGCGCAATACTCAAATATAATCGAGAAAAATGAACTTAGTTTTCTTAGCACTTTATATATAAGTTATGCTCACTTTCTTTTGAACATCCTGTGGCTGAGTGTTAACGATTCTGACTCGTACGCTTGAGTGCTTGGGTTCGATTCTCTTGTGTATACTTTTTTATTCGTAAATACTTATAATGTGTTTATTTATTTAGTTATTCATTTATTTATAACGTAAAAAAGTAAACAGATAAGAAAAATATAATAACATATACAGGGTGTATTAGTACAACGATTACAAACTTTCAGGAGAGATAGAGTACACCTAGATGGGAAATCACATAGCAATGCATGGTCAGAAACGGTTTCCTGGCACAGTAGTGACGACACAGAACACAAGAAAAAAAAGACAAACAGGGTGAGAAAATATGTTTATTATTCTTAGTACAGCAAAAATGCTGGGATGTGTTTGGCTGGAGATGTGAAGCCTGCATCAGGCCCAGAGTCGTAATTTCAGACATCTTCTTTGATTTTTGCTGTACTAAGAATAATAAGCATATTTTCTCACCCTGTTTATGTCTTCCTTTTCTTGTGTTTTGTGTTGTCACTACCATGCCAGGAAAGTTTTCCAATCATGTATTGCTATGTATTTCCAATCATGATTTCTCATCTATGTTTACTNGTGATCTCCGATCTAATTCTCACTAGAAGCATTTTTTTCTATCGGAGCTCTTTTTCACTTACTCTTTAACACTTTGTTTCTGAATTTTGACACAAATAGGCATATTTATGCAGTGAAATTTTTTTTTAATTATAAAATGATTTTTCAAAATATGTCAAGAGAAGCAAGTTCTTTACGTTGTGACGAGAAAACTGTTGATGATAACTCTTTATACAGTGATGCATCGAAGCAGTGGCTAAAAGATGGAGTAGTGTATTATGAGAGTTTACTTTTTGAAAATAATGTAATTGAAACATCTTCTAATACACTATCTGAAAATGCTAAGCTGATAGGCACAGAATTATACAATAATACATTGGATATGTTGAATGAAAAAATTTATAAATGTTTCAATTAAATTATTTTCGATAAGTTCATTTTTCTTGATTATATTTGAGTATTGCACTTTAGTATTTTACAGGTAGTACACTCACATGGTTTACTACCTCTACACCAAAGATCATCAAAATCCATTTCCCCAAAGCCGTAGGGTCTCCTTGTTAGTAAACAAGGTGAAAAAACCAATTTCCAGCACAAAAATTATAAGAAAACATTATTGTGTAACATGGTCAAAAACATCTTCAGACTGACTGACATTTGTGTCAGTTAGTATGAAATTGGTTTTTTTGCCTTGTTTATTAAGTATACTCAGTTTTGTGTTGTTGAGAGTATATAGTTTTTGTTAATTTTTCATAGTATCTTACCACCAAGGCAAATTAGTGAAACTTTGCAGACATATTGATAAGACTTTGTACTCTTGGATGGTATATTTTTCAGTTTGTAACAGACTACTAGGAGGCACAAAAGTTCAAAAAATTCTTGTTTTGATTGATTTTTACATGCATGCTTACTATGTAAATCTATAAAAAAAAATAATAGATTAACCCTTACATAGTTGTATCAAATAGGTTTTATTTGATCAAAAGTCAGCAAAAGTGTTTTTACGATGTCCACGAAAAACTGCAGAGAATTTTTTAATTTTTGTGCTGCAGTGTATTTGAGTTTGAAGTTGAAATTTAGTGTGAGGATAGTTTGGGATCAAGGCCAACCCACCAAAATAGTTTCGATACAGTTGATGACTTAGGTGGGAATATCATAACTTGTAGTAATGCCCTTTATTAACCACTGTTACCAACATATTGATACATAAACAGCAGAGACAAGGACACCCTTACTCTGCTTGGCAATATCTCTTTACTCTTTTACATCAACTGCTATTGTTAATAGCCCACCACTCTGGTTTATTTTATTGGGGATTATCCTTTGGTTCTTCCCTCATACAATAGCATTCATCCTTGGCTGTATATGCCTGAAGATGGCCTTTAACCAGGTTGAAAATGTTAGTGCTCTTTATTAAAATTCCCACTGTTAAAAGTGCATTAAGTAATTCAGCTAAGTTACATAGTAGCTAATATATTATCCTTATGTTAAATTTTTTTTTATATTTTGTCTCCTTTAAATAATTTAATTTAATTGGATTTTAAATAACATCTTTAGAACACAGGTAATATATGTTTGAATTAAAACAATGTTGGAAATTTATACAGAGACAGTTGATCTCAAAAACGTTGTCTGAAATAAAAATGGTAGGCCTTTGTATTAATAATTTATTAGTAATTAATTCCATGATAGAATTAATTATAATCATAACTCAGAACATGAATCTAGAATTCAGGCTTATTTTTAATAGGCTATTAAATATAAGCAATCTGTTTATTTTTATTTCTGAGTTTTGTAAATATTTTTATTACAAATTATCAGCATTTAATACTTTACATTTATATTGAGAAATCATAAAGATTTACAGTTGTTTTTACTTTTCTATTATAATTTTTTAAAATATTGGTTATTGAGAAAGCTGGTGATAGGCTTGATTGCCCAAAAGTACTAGAGAAACTGCTACTTAATAAGAACTGAAATAAAGCATAATTTTGTTAAAATTTTTGAATATTGAAACTTGTAGCATTTTCACTTATTACTGTAAGAAAGTTTATATTGTTATTTAAATTAATTTTATTCATTGAAAATTAATATTAAACTTTGTAATAACAAAGTAATGGTCAAAAATATAAACTCATATTATAAATTTCAAAAATTGTGAATGCACTTTTTATTCAAATTAAGCAGAAATAAGAAAATATTTATTACAAAATTCAGCTTAATCAATTCCTTAAAAATTCATAATAGCTAGCTTATATAAGGAATACAACAACAGATTAAGTTCTTCCAGTAACAATATTTTAATGATGTTTTTAGGTTTTTTGTTGTGTATTTTGTATTACAGAACAGTTCAGTTTGCAGAGAAGTTTTTTCTATTTAAGGAATAAAAAAAAAAAAAATGACACAAAGGATTGGTGAACATGAGCTTTTTCTTTGCTACTACAGATTATATGATGATATTTTTATGATCAATAAAAAAAATTTGCTACTCCAGACTTCAGGCAGGTTATTATAGTACAGTCAAACCTCTGTTTTCAAATGAGTAACTTTTTGAACAAATCAGTTTATGAACAGAATTTTGAACTCATATTTGCTCTGATTGTCATATGATAACTCAGTTACTGAACAAGCTACTCAGCAATAGCCAGCCACAGATTAGAGAGACATAGATGATCAACTTCTTTATACTTCCTATGTTAAAGAAAGTTGATGACCTGACCAATCAACGACAGGACTACTGATTCAGAAATTAGTGGTGCCAAGATTGCCTTGTCATTAGACATTAAGACACAAATCATTGATGACATTGCTACTTAAACTTATTTTCTTTTCTGCATGTACACTAAAATCTATTTGCATTTTTCAGTGCATGCTGCAGTTGAATTTAAATCAAATTAATTAATAAAAACTGCATTAATTGACATTTATATAATATAAATGGCATTTCAAGAATTCATATTTAAAAGTGCTTAAGTCAAGTTAAATAACAAAAATTTATTATATACAGGGTTCCTATGCACTGGAAAGTCAGGGATTTTCATTAGTGTTTGGAAAAAGTTATAGAAAGTCAGGGAATTTGTTTCCTTAGTTGTCCTGTTAAGTTTGTTTTCTGACAGTATGGCTGAATGTGGTACAATGCAACTTATGAAAAGGGGGTGCAGAATATTTTCAGGATCCAAACTTTCATGCAAACATACTCAAAATTTTGAGTATTAATATTATCATATTAATATTGATAAAGTTAATATGCAAAATAACATAGTTAATTTGAATGTCAGAATGATGGTTGATTCATGTTGGGCTACAGTGATAAGGGATAAATACAACTTCATGTGAGGTGGTTTGTTATCTAGATCAAGATGTTGGTGATATGAGTGTTACAAGTTGTATGGCTATTAAGTCTGCTGAAGAGGCCTTGTTTTGATCAGGACAAAATGCATTTGGAGGTAATATAGCTTATTAAAGAAATTTTCTCTACTGGTTTAAAAAATGTGTCGTTTGAATTTTTAATTTTAAATTTTTATAATAATTTTGAAAAGTTTTTTAACATCTCATAGGTCAGTATCAAAAGAGAAGAATTTCTTGGGTATTTTTCAACATAAACAATTTTAAATTAAAAAACTAATTGCTTAGTTTTTAACCTTTTTATATTAATTAATTATATGAAAGAAACCTGTTTAAATGACAATATTTAGATAAAACAAAAATGTATTCAAAATCTCATTCATTATTTATTTAGTTTGTTTTTTATCATTGATTATCAAGGTTTACATGAAAAGCCATTATTTTTAAAATATAAGAATTAATGAGTATGAAATNTAACTTCAGCAACAAAAAAGTAATGATAGTATTGATACTATAATTGTGAATATTTAAGTATTTATTTATTTAGTACAAGGTTTTTTACCCTTTGTACAGGGAAGAAAGAAAACAAAGTTACTAAGAAATGTATGGTCAAACAAATAAAAAAAAAAACAGCATTATAAAAATACAAAAGTTAAAGTACAAAACCATTCATAAATACAATAACCATTACATAAAATACAATATTCTTTGTATAAACACAATAACAAGTGCATAATTACACTTTCCAATACATAATTACAACAGCCAGCACATCAATACATAATCCCATACATAATAATTAATACACATAAACAAACTGACCAACTGTGATGACCTCATGTCATTACAAAGTAAAAAAGGAAAATATTAATAAATTTTAATGAATATTACTTACCTGGAAAAAATACAAAATTAAGAAATATACAAAACAGCTTAACATCAGGTTGTCACAGCCAGTCAGCACCGAATTAACCCCCAAGAGAGTTAAAACCAATGCACTTTTAATACTAAATGACACAGATGCCCTCTGAAATACAATTCAAGTACAGGCTTTATAAAAAAGATAAATAAAATAAAATATATTGAACATGTTAGAAAAGGAATAAACTTGAAAATTGTACTGAGAGAATCTATTCTTACCGAAATATTGTTTTCGCTTCTATGCAAAGTTATAACAATCACAAACAATAAAAGAAGAATTCTCAGCTGTAGATTCATTACAAAAGGAACATATATGATCCTCAAACCTTTTAAGATACAAAACTGAATCACTTCTGAGTGGTAAAAACATTTTAATAAAGTTGAAAGAAAAATTTGAATTTAAATTCTCTTTGGTTTTAAATCCTAATTCTGCTGGATGATATCAGAAAACATTGTCATTCAGGCTGATTCTATTTTTGAATTCCCAGTATGGTGTATCCGAGATGTGCAACATAAAATCCAATAAACAAAAATTCCTGTTATTCCATAGAATATAAGAACCATACTGAATCTATTTTTATGAATCATACTGGTTGAGAAATTTTCTTATTTCATCTCCCCAGCAAGTCTGATTATTCAGAAGAAATATCTTAAAAGTTTGGATCAAAGACAAGTTAGATTTGGATTTTTCTGAACATATCAGTACTTTTTTGATGATAATAAAATATATTACCCTATCAAATTCTAACACTAAGAAATAATGTGGAACCCAATGTCCTAAACCATAAGCATGTCTAATAAAATTCCATTGAATAGATTCAAACCTAGTACTCCAATCATAGAACCATACCTCAGCACCATACAAAACCACTATAATAAACTTCATTTATATGAATCCCAGTTATCTCTCCATTTAGCCAATCTACCTTTCACACAGGTCTGAATAATCTTAAAAGACAGTGCTTCCACCTTCTTCTTAATTAAGTCAAGATGTTTCACAAATCTTTCAAATCAGTAGATTTAAAACAGAAGTTTGAATCAGGCAACAATCAGAGTTAAACTTGTCAAAATTTTTCAAAACAAACATAAATGCTTATCTTAGTTATTTATTTTTGTGAAGTCTCAACTATTTATTTTTATTCAGAGATTTTGAATTCTTTGTAAAGAATTGAAAAGATTTTGTAAATATGTAATGTTTTAAGAAAATTAAAAATATATTTTTTTTCTGTGTGTGTGTAAATATACAGGACATAAAAAGACAGATTATTGTAATTCCCTAACAAAGCAATACTAGTAAATAAATATGACCCTATTTTGCTAATATATGATTGCAGCATATAATTGAATATTCATATTTTTTTACAGGAGTATCTTGAAATCTCCACAATGGAATCCTAATGAACAAAAAAATGTGCAGATCTGCATTTTATCTGGTGGGCTGTAAATAATTTTTAAGTTTTCTTTTATATTCTGTAAAATTATTCTGTAGGCCATAATTATAATGTCTTTGTGAAAATGCTTATAAAATATTTAGTTATAAATTATCTTATACTTCTTACAATATTTAAAAAAATCTTTAACTAGATTAATTAAGTGATTTTTGAGTTAAAATGTTTTAATTAAAAGGATTTTTCAATTTTTCAAATATGTAAATATCACATATTTTATAATTGTGTGAAGAGAAATTGGTCATTCGATAATAATAAACAAGTAAATAATACCTAAATAAGCAAGAAAACTAACAGAAAGCATTCATTTTTATCATAATCTCTATGAACTTTTAGATACTTGTTCCAATGTTCTATCAGCTTCTGAGAATATATTGTACAAAGGTTTGTTGACTGTTGTTGGAGTAACTACAGTTACATGTTTCTGAAAATATTCACTATTAAGTACTAGGATTTATAACTATCTCTTTCAAAACCTTAAGACGTCAATATTGTTGAGGATCATTCTGATACATATTAATATATTGCCATGCATATGATATATTGTTGTTGTCTTTATAGTTTATACAGTTCCCTGCTCAGCTGGCTTTGTATATTTCTAATTTTTCCAATTCCCTTATATGGTCAGTTTGGAATGATTTCTTTATAAGGGTGATCTGACACATATGTTGCCAGTGTTGTCACCTCTGTCTACATCATATTTATGTTCTTTTAGCCTTTTTTTGTAACAATGTTTTTGTTGATCCTATGTACACCAAGTCTCATTGAAACCTATCATCTTTGACCGGTATTTTGTATACCCCTGGTGCTCTCCTGTTATTCAGCTTGTCTTTATCATTTCTTAGTAGCTCATATATAGTCTGAGTCCTCCATGTGTATGTTAATTTGGTCCCTTCTCTTCCACTATTTCTTTATATATGTGATGAAGATTTTTGTTGTATTGGACAATTATGCGTTTTGTGTTATTTTCTTGCTCGGGAATCTTGATAGATACCGCTTTTCCTATGTTATTGCAGATTCCTGTATGTGGAATATGGAGCTTCCAGGCTATCTTACCAATTATGATCCTATTGTATTCATGTGTGACTGCTATATCTTCAAGGTCCCCGAGTTCTTTAGCTGTATCTTCACTTCTGGTGTTGTGAGTGAATGCTCTTTTTACTAACATTCTGAAAGTAACTATTTTATATTGGTATGGGTCTTCTGATTCCACTGGTATATATAGTGACGTGAATCCCAGCTTATAGTATACCATCGTTTGTATTCCATTATTGTTGATACATACGGAGATGTCTGAAAATATATATGAGCTACTAAGAAATGATAAAGATAAGCTGAATAACAGGAGAGCACCAGGGGTATACAAAATAATGATCAAAGATGATAGATTTCAACGAAACTTGGTGTACATTAGGGTTTCTCAAACGGGATCCCGGTTGTTTTTTTAACCCGGGAAATATCCCGGGAAATTTTTCTTATACCGAGAAATCCCGCAAATTTCTTAAAAATTCACTTTTTTTCTTATTTTGTGTTAAGGTTGAGGAATTTTGCAAATAGAAAGCATAATTAACTCATAAACTGTCAGAATACATTTGTATTTATCAATTTTAAACCTACTTATTAGTTTCTTAAGTTTTTGCTCATTATAGCATGTCACAAATGGTCAATAATCAATACATAGCTTATTTGTGTCATGACTCTCAAAATTCTTTACTTGTTGGAACCTGTAATATCTGGAATAATTGTGCTTATGCTGTCTTAATTTTTAACCATGCCCAATAGCTTCGATAACGCGTAACACCATGTTGTACGATGTCTGTAAGTACGAAGTTTTTCTTCATAAACCTGATGATCAAAGACAAACTAACTGACGAATTATTGGGCTATAAGCTTGATGTTTCTATTAAAGCAGTCGAAGTAGACAAATGAAGAATACTAGAGAGCAAAAGAAGTATTACAACCTCGAAAACGAACTCGAAATCTTCCAGGCTACAGGTGAAAAAACACATAATATCTGTCTTCTCTTAAATGCATTAAACACTATTCCAATCACATCAATTGAATCGGAAAGGGCATTCTCGGTGGCAAGACTTTTCATTACTAAAATAAGAATTAGAGTGAGTTATCGGAGTATTGACCATCTTTGCTTTTTAAAATCTTATAAAAGTTTGCAATATTTTGTATTATATTTTATTTAAAAAACGAAAATTACCTTCTAAATTAGAAGTTCATTTTTTTAATTTTTAACTCAATTCAAAACATTTTTTTTGTTGTTGTTGTATGCAGTTTCCAGCAAACTTTAATTAATTTTTTTCTATTTGTGAAAATTTCTACGTTATTTAAAGGTAATTTTTATTATAGGCCTATAGACCTAACACAGCATTATTAATATGATTTTGGAGGTTACAAAACTTTAAAATTACTTTAAAAAATGGAAAATAATTATATCATTTGATTTCAAGATATTTTGTATACCTTAAAAATAATTAATTCTATCCCGGGATTTCCCGGGATCCCGGGAAACAGTTCACTTTTATCCCGGGATCCCGGGACAAGCAAAAGACCGGGAAATAAGAAACCCTAGTGTACATAGGATCAACAAAAACATTGTTACAAAAAAAGGCTAAAAGAACATAAATATGATGTAGACAGAGGTGACAACACTGGCAACATATGCGTCAGATCAGCAGACCTAGATAATGCTATCCTTATAAAGAAATCATTCCAAACTGACCATATAAGGGAATTGGAAAAATTAGAAATATACAAAGCCAGCTGAGCAGGGAACTGTATAAACTATAAAGATAACAACACTATATCATATGCATGGCAATATATGTATCAGAAGGATCCTCAACAACATTGATGTTTTATTCAGAAAATTCCAGGATAAAATATTAATATGCAGAAGGTGGACCTATATAATGGAGTAGGAAATAAATAGCCATATTAATTTGCATCAAATAATTCAAATAGTTGAACTAAGTTGCAGTTAATATTTGAACTGTGGGCATTCCAATATTAGAACATTATCGAACCTGAAGCAGTTCTCGATAGAGAGATGAAAACATTTGTTCAAGCAAGTAAATATTATTATTTTTACTAAAATAAAAAGTTTTGAGAGATGTTTCTGAAACTTTGCTGTTTGAAAAATGTTTGCCATTCAAATGTTTTCTTACAGCTTTGAAAAGTTGATCATCACTTTGTGCTGGATCTTAACTATTTCTCATCTATACTGTTCAAATAGATCACTATGGCTGGAGATTATTATTCAAGTGATGATAGATTCAGGAATATACACTAACAAGCCAAAAGCATAAAAATCAACCTCATAACGCAATTTTGGTTCTCCTCTTGCTGCCAATAGAGAGAGCCTTTACCCAACAAGGTTTAGATGTAATAGTGATGCTGGATACCATATCTGAAAACAGAAGGTCTTTCAGTTTCTGTAAATTATGGAGTTGGGATGATGCACTTCATAACTGTTTATCCAAGGTATCCCATACATGTTATGTTTGATGGAATTATGTCTGGGCAATGGGGAACCATTTATGAATTATTTTTGCCATATGGCATGGTGTGTTGTCCTGTTGAAAGATGCTATCATTGGCAGGAAACAGTCACGATAAAGAAATTTACTTGGTCTGTAACAATATGCAGGTAAATATTTGTTTTCATACTTCCTACAGGGATTAAGAGTCTTTAAGAGTTTACTACAGGGATTAAGAGAGAAACATTGCATTTCCAAGTGTTTGTGCTAAATTTCTTTTTTCAGTTTTGTGATTTATGTACAGTAATACCCCGACTTACGCTACCCCGACTTACATGAACCCGGAGTTACGCGATTTTCAAATATCGTCGATTCGTCTTTTGTTTGAGCGCCACACAACTCTTGATTACTCACTCCCCCCACATTATTGTTCAGCTTACGTGTTCGGATTTGTCGCGTGGAATTGGCACATAGCTACAATTTATTTTGTGTTATTTATTTCTGTGTTTGTTATATCTACGGAGACTCGAGAGACTCTATGTGGTGATTTCTAGTAACCGTGAACTAATCAAAAGACGAGATAAGATTAACGAGAACATTTGTTAGCTTACATACATCCGACTTGGATTTTACATAAATTGCGAAATTATACCCCGACATACGCGAATTTGACTTACGCGGTTATTGCTCGATCCCACCTATCGCATAAGTTCGGGGTATTACTGTATTTAATCAATATAGCACTCAAGAAAGAGAGAAGTGATAGTGGCAACAGAAAATGTTTTAGTGTAGCATTAAAGAAAGAAATTATTGCAAAACATGAGAATGGTATTTGTGTTTCTGACATCACTAACAAGGGGATCTTATGGTCTCAGAAATTCAGTTTAGGATGAGACTTTGCAGGTTAGTAGTATACCTCAAGGGTGTCCACCCAGAAGAATTGTAAAACACACTAGCCAGAAGATTCTGAGAAAAAGGGCTCTAAAGTTTTAAGCGCAGCTCAAATACTGATCGATTTTACACTATGGCAGCACAGCGAAATGGCTGAGTCTGTAGCGAACTTGCTTGCCACGCGGGCGATCTAGGTTCAATCCTACCTTTGGCAAACTTTTTTTTTTTAATTATTTTAAAAATTGTAACAACTTTTAAATAAAGTTAATGACCTAAAAATATTATCAATTAAATCATAAATAATTTATTTTATTTATGAAATGACTGTTACAGCTAATTAAAATGTGAATTAAAGATAATATTTTATTTTTAAAAAGTTGAATAATTTCAAATGCATTTTTAATTGAGCCAATTTTACAAATAAAATTACAAAAATTCTATTTTAATATATTATAAGCTGTGGAGAGGTTAAAAATATTTGTTTTAAATTTGAAGAATTTTTCAATTCCTTGTTATCTTCAACCGATGAACTTAAGACAATAGGTCGGAAAGTTATGTGAAAGCACTTTTGCTGCTGACTTGTAAAAACTCACTGAATGATTAG